GCCATGCCGGTCTTTGACTACGCATAATGATCAATACCAAACTTTGTTGGAATCTGACATCCAAACCGACAAACTCCAGCTCGTAGCACGCATTCGCCACGTTTTGGCTCGCCGTTGATAATTGCGTACCGAAATACGATAGCACAAATAGGCTGACTGCAACGCATACCACTTCAAAGCATGCCATTAACCCGGCCCCGCTTTGCATGGGGACCTGGAATTTAGCCTATGGTGATAACATGCCTCTAAATGGCCGACGTTTCCATACCACAGATGCATAGTACAAAGCAGAACTTACAGTAGCCAAACTCGCCATTGCAGTAACGAAGATGAGATTTGAACATACATCGTTGACATGGGTGGTAAGTTCTATAAGGGATGTGTGATGGGAAACTATGTTTCTTACCAGATCTTCTAATTCTTCATAGCATGGTTTATTATTCTGAAATAAATATAATATGTGAAATGAAACGGCCATTTTGATCAAAACTTGATTGGGTTCTGGGTCTGAGCATTACAGATAGCTAAAGTAAATTGTTGGTATAGATAATTTTTCTTTAACAACAATCGATAAAATAATTAGAACGAAACGAAACATGCGCATTTTTCTTCATAATGATAACGTTAGCTCTCACTCAGGCCGTAAAACCGTTAATTTTTTAGAGATTAAAACATTAGAATTAAAGACTTATGGCCGGTATTCCCCTCATTTCTTACCATGTCACTTACTTTATTTATTTATTTATTGTCCCTCTTGTTCTGGGGTCTCAACAGGTTTGTGCCCAATTACAGAGTGACCCGTATAATGCTTTTTAGAGCTGCCCCTGCAGAAGGTCTTAAGTTGTTCCATACTACTCCGATATTTACCTTACGAATTAGGAAAACTGCAGGAAAACCTAATTCGGAGTAGCCGGTAGAATGCTCGAAACTGATCTAAGGAAATTCCCATCTTTGATGAAAAATGTTTACCTCACCCAGGTTTGAACCCGACCTTCCGGGTATGTAGCCCAACGCTCTACCACTGAGACACATAGAACATCAAAAATTGAATGCACGGTGAACAATTTTAGTCTCCTAAAGCAGCTGTTGAAGTATGTTCTGAAGTATCTGTTTCAGGCTGGCAAAGCTGCTTTGCAAATTGGATTGTGCAATTGCACAAGCGTATTGACGTTAGAAGTAGTTACTAACTACATTTATTTTCAGAAACCTCCCCATTATTTTCTTAAATACAAAGTTTGAGAGGAAACGTTCTTGGTCCCGTAATAATCTTAATAATAAACGTTCTACTAAAATGCACGAGAAGAGTTCAGCAAATTTTACCAAGAAAGGAACGAAATTTAACAATGGTCCAAGTTACATTGGACCAAGTTACGTACCTTGTATATTCTTTTAAATTGTGCTCGTATTGTTTCTGTTAAAACAGTATACTGAGTTGTCAAATCTATTATTAGTCCAGCGATAAGAAAGTCTGCAAAGCAGTAAATGGATGCGCCCACCAGTGTAGCAACGCTGTGATAGAACCAAGCGATTTCAAAATTAGGGCTATAAGTCGTGTCAAACAACGAGAAATCGGAAATAGGTAATATCCACTTATTCGGATCGCTCACTACGAATCTCGTAGCCAATGTGCCGATGTACATAAGAAACATTACGCTGTAAAATATTATGACAATCGTCAGCATCTGAAACATTTTACGTTGGTACTTTACAAATATAGGTTGCTGTTACGACCATTCTATTTATTTTGTAAGTTTCCGCTTGTCTCCAACCTTTCGTGTTTTTCTGAAGTTGAAACGTTTCTATATCATCAAAAATTTTCTTCAAGCTCTTCCTGTTCTGGTACATTATAAGAAGTTTACAACAAACTAAAAATAAAATGCCACCACCAATAGATTTCATTATTTCGGGTAGTTACCAGCAAATCCGCCGACAACACTAAAAATTCCGCCAACAACAATGTTATAATCGTTCAAGCTGGTAAGAATCAAATGCAAACATGTCGTCGAGTACAAGCAGACCACAAGGAACACTAGCAAAGTGTACATCTTCTGAAGTTTACCTTCGGTGTCGCTAACGTTTATTCCCAGGAATCTAAAAATGAATTTCGGTAAACAATGGCAATTAGACCGAAATTGCCGTTGCAAATCTTTGATGTCCATCTTGTAGTTGTCGCTCAGATCTAAATCTATGGTTAGACTAACGCTTTCATTTCAAGTAGGTTTCTGATAATATATTTATGTGATCAATTACATCTTATTAAGCATGCACCCTTATATTAATAAACTAAAAGTGAACAGATTGTTCGATCGCGATTTATAAAAGATTCATTTTGTAAATCGATTGGGCAAGGTACACCAATCGCCTTCGGAAATTAAGGAATTATATACTCAGAATTCAAAATTTGTATAAAAAGTTTGAATACTTTCCTTGGCACTTTTAAATAGTAAAAACTTTAACTTTAGAATTGGAACCACATCAGAGCTATTGAGAGACTTTTCAGAACGACTAGAAGCCCAATCTGCTATAGGAGATATCTAGAACTCTAATTATACCGGAAACATTTTACCAAAAACTGGTCCTAAAAATTTCCTCGTCACTTGCAACGTTGGGATTTGATCCAAGTATTCCACTGCCAATTTGAATACGAAGAAGTCTCAGTCTTTTTATTATCAGGTTCATTGCGGACAGTTTAGAACTCAGAGGAATAAATAAATTCTTCTGAAGTTTAGAATATTTTCCCGCAATCTAGAATTGGCACTTCACGTTTAGCGAATGTTCTACAAAAAGGTGCAGAAAGAACAAATGACTGTTACGCGAGGTAAATTTTACAATTTTGCCTTTTAATCCACCCATCACACTTCTATTACTCCTATTAAAATTTAGTTTTTGCTTGAGAAAGCTCCAAAACTAAAATGTTTGAGACAAAATTAAGCTATAATGTGGCAAATTTTCCACCAACATGAATTACATAATGTGTGAATTAAAAAATTATCAAAGTCCTCGTTTGAGATCGAAGGGACTTCAGCGCATTTTTGTGTGGCAGATCAGTATTCTATTAGCCACTTTCGACTCAACCATCAATAACAGATCTTGTCGAAGGCTACTACATTCACTAATCGCTTCCCACTTTCCGCGTGCACCCGCAATTCGCTTTTAAAGATTTGACTCCACCATCAGTAAGATCGTGTCGGGGGCTACCACATTCCCTTTGACGGTACCCACTTCCGACGTTCCGTTCACCCGCAATTCGCGTTTGAAGATTTGACTCCACCATCAGGAAGATCGTGTCGGGGGCTACCACATTCCCTTTGACGGTACCCCCTTCTGACGTCCCGTTTATCCGCAATTCGTGTTTGAAGATTTGACTCCACCATCAGGAAGATCGTGTCGCGGGCTACCACATTCCCTTTTACGGTACCCACTTCCGACGTCCCGTTTACCCGCAATTCGCGTTTGAAGATTTGACTCCACCATCAGGAAGATCGTGTCGGGGGCTACCACATTCCCTTTGACGGTACCCACTTCCGACGTCCCGTTCACTCACAATTCACTTTTATTGGCGACACGAGAAAGAGAGACAGCGATTCGAGATTTACGAAACGTTAAACCGCGTGAGTTCGCAACGGAAGGTAAAAGGCGCCCGAAGTTGACTACTTCTCGAAGACGCGCGCGCGCGCCACGCAAAAGGTCGTTAATTTCGCCCCTATGACAAAAAACAAAATTCCGCCACGCAGGAGTTGTGCGCGTTTACAACATCTTTCCGACGACACCAATTTCAAAAGAATCGGACCTAAACTGTAGTAGAAGATAGGAAAAAACTGAAAAACATTCACGTTAGTATACTACGCTCGAGGATGACGCCCAGATGTCGCCAACCCCACATCATGTAGCCATGTCCCTAAGGTTGACAAATTTCACGGCCCTGTAGAAACACGTACACCCGTTGCCTTTCTACAAGAGTTCTTCTACGCGCCCACATTTGCTGCCAGCCAGCCAGCCAAAGTGAGATTAAAAGCTACTTATTACAAATAAATTTGCAAAAATGCGCAAAAAAAGGAGATAGAGGACACTAAAGAAAACATCTTTTTTTTCAAATAAACCGAGGGAACATTACAATTTCGTAACAAAAACTCCAAAATTTTGACTTTAAGATGGTACATTTGATTTTGACAAAAATTGGTATTTGGGGGTCTGAAATTAGTTTGAGACGATTCGGAAAAAATTCCGACAATCAAAGTGGTCTGAATTTCGGGAAAGTTATGTAAATCAGGACATCTCTATTTCACCACGCCCCATCTTGGCGCAGGAGATTTTGTAAATATCCTATCCATCCTTCGCGTGATATTTCTATTGGTTTAAAGGGAATGCAATGTTGGGAACTTTTGTAGGTTCCAAATGCGTCATTCGCGATCTTTGGTATTTAAAAAAATGTTTGTTCCTCCATCACCAATTCCTTTTATACATCTCAAAATTTTATAATTTATACAATTTTCCTCCAAAAACAGTGTCAGTTTGGGCTCTGCCTTCATACACAGGGTGGGTTCAAATAACTAAAATCAAAATTTATACAGTTCGTCTTTCGTCTCTAAAAGAGGTGAAGAAAATGTGATTTTCCTCTCTAGTGAGGAAAGTAAAAAACAATTGCTGCATTAATCTTAATCATGACATTTAAAATTGCAGCTTACCGGTATCTAGATTGCTAGGTGTTAAACTTCATTATTGCATACGATAATTTTAATGGTAGTTTCAGAAAAAAATATGTGTAAAACATTAGAAGAAAGTGTTTTTCAACGCTCCTTAATTGACACACTCGCTACGCTTATGTTCCAAACTTTGAACTCGAGTTGAAAAACTCCACTTTCTTCTCTAGTTGTACCTACAAATAACTATTACGTTACACCAAGAACACTATTTGTACAAAAATAATTTAAACTGGATGCAAACTTGTTCTTGGTTGCCACGCCATACGTTACGATGAAAACCCTCGACGCCACAGAAAGTATTTCCTTGCGAATGATTCACAGTAACAAACTTTATTTTACTTCACAATAGCTACATTTCAATTTTGTTGCTAGTGCAAATCCCTTAAGGCGTTGTGTGCTACATTATTATCGTGTGAATAATGGTCAAATTACGTTGATTGCATGGTACCGTCCTTCACTTGCTGATTCTTGCGTAGTATCATGAAGTAAGAGTACGTGCTTCTCATCATCTAAAACGTACAATTAGTTTTTTTGGGTGCTTAATAATCCTTACCCATGTAAACACCGCTATAGAAAGATTGGTGAAACCACCGACTGACAACCACGCCGGTCTTTGACAACGCATAATAATCATTAACAAACTTTTTTGAAATCTGACATCCAAACCGATAAAGTCCAACTCGTAGCACGCGTTCGCTACGTTTTGGCTCGCCGTAGATAATTGCGTACCGAAATACGAGAGCACAAACATGCTGGTAATAACTGCTAGCATTTCAAAGATTGACAATACCGCGGCTGTGCTTTGCATGGGAACCTGGAATTGTGGGAATAATAATGTTAAGAGTATCAAGTAATTCGCGTTCCCATACCACAGTTGCGTAGTACATGGCGGAACTCACAGTAACCAGGCTCGCCATTACAGTAATGAGAAGAAGATCAGCACAAGCGGAGTTGACTTCGGTGGTTAGTTGAATAAGGGATGTATGGTGGGAGACTACACTTCCGATGAAAGCTTTAAGGTCTTCGTAAGATGGTTCCTTATTCTGAAATAAAGATAATGATATCTGAGTAATATCAATGGTAGGGACATTAGGGTAAAAAATTACACGTGCAATTTCCAAACCAGTAACACATCAGCTGATGAGTTGAAAATAGATTAAAAGCAACCAACATTCATTAAATCAGCAAGAAAAATTACACTTACTTCTAAAATAGCACTGGCAGACCAGTACATGTGAAACCATACTGTATCCCTTTCGCCCAAAAAGGCCCCAATCCTAATCCTAATAAAAGAGACAACGAGGGGAGCAAAAAATGATGAGTACACAAAATGTGTACTATCCGTTTCCTTGTATCGAGAAAATTTTAGATGTGTTACCAAGAACAGCGTATTGTTCCCAGCCAAAATTTATACTATGAGAAAGAATATCACCGAAGAAAAATCCATGAGGTCTTAAGTGGTCTAAGAGCGAAGGATCTTCGAAAGTTTTTCGATAAAACCGAAGCTTGTATTGTTTGAAACAAGCACCAAGGTGCTGGATCTCTTGCTTTGAAATGGATTTTAAGCAGGTGACGCTGATTGCTGCCAAAACACGATTGATATTGAAAGACCCTCATTACCCTGTATGTAGATGATGGTCTTGTAGCACAAGTGATGACAAGCTGGGTTTTTGTTTGATCTTAGACAGAAATTGAAAATTACTGAAAAACCAGCATCATTCTACTTTTGATTTAGAGATAGAGCAAGTGGGCATCCATTACAATAACACAAGAATCGTATACGAAGAAGATTCTAAAGTGCTTTCGCATGATCCATGAAATCCAGTAGGTCAGGGGAAGTGGATGATTCCGAAGGAAATAATTTTCCATACAAAGAAGCAGTAAGTGTTTTGGCCTACCTCGGAACTCGTCCTGACATATGGAGTATATGCTGTAAGGTCGAATCCAGATGCTGGGAATCCAACTAAAAGTGATTGGCATAATGTGAAAAAGATATTCAGATTTAGCAAATACCATAGTGACGAACGCTAATTTTAAACATTACCATTTCGTGAAATGGATTTAAATAATATTATAGGATTGTACGTACCTTTTCTGAGCATGTACTTTTAAACTGAATCTTAATCGTTTCCGTTAAAACAGTGTACTGAGTTGTCAGATCTATGATCAATCCAGCGATCAGAAAGTCTGCAAAGCAGTATATGGATGAACATCCCAGCGTAGCAACGGTGTGATAGAACCAAGCGATTTCGAAATTTGGACTATAAGTCGTGTCGAACAGCGAGAATTCGATAATGGGCATAATCCACTTGTTCGGATCTTTCACAATTATTCTTGCTAGCATTGTGCCAATATACAGAGCAAACAAGAAGCTGTAAAATATTATAATAACTGCCAGCATCTGAAACATTCCATGTTTATGTTTTGTAAAAACACAATGTCGTCGCAACCATTTTATTCATTTTGTAACACTCTACTTGCCCCCAACCTTTTATGTTTTTTTGAACTTGAAGCATTTCTATATCATCAAAAATTTTCTTCAAACCTCTCCTATTCTTTTTAATCACAAACGTTTTAAAGACACCTAAAAATACAAAGGCAATACAAATACGTTACATGTGCCCGCTTAGTTACTTGCAATTCCACCGACGACGTTAAAAATTGCAGCGATAACGATGTTGTAATTGTTCATATTAGAAAACATCAAATGCGCACAGGTCATCGGATATAACGCAACCAAAAACTGTATTATCCAAGCGTAAAGTTTGTAAAGTTTACTGTTGGTTTCGTTAGCGCTGAGGCCCATGCATGTAATAACCAATTTCGGTAAATAGTGGCAATTGGACCTCATCTGCCGTTTCAGGACCTTGATGTCCATCTCGATTTAAACCTGTGGTTAGACTGTCGCGGTCTTAGCTGACTAATTTCAAGTAACGTTTTTATAATATATTTATGTGTTCAATTACGTCTTATTAAGTATGCATATACCCTTATATGAATAAATGAAGGGCGATCAGATTGCGCGGTCACGATTTATAAAGGATTCATCAAGTGATCAATTGATTAAGGTCAAGATGTACACATTCGTATCGGTTGGGAAATTAGCCGTTAGTGCCGGATTGAGCTGGAAGTTACAGTTATCTGCAAAGGCTCCCTTCTCAATTCCATAAAATTCCTAAAATCTGATTTAATTGCTAGCTAGTCATAAGTTTTTAGGAAAAATAAAACCAAGATAAACAAACAAATGGTTTACCAACACGACGGTGCTCCTGCACATTGCAGCCGTGCCGTTCAGGAATATGTTTATGAAAGGTTTCTGAACTCATGGATTGGCTGTGGAGGCCAGTAAGGTAACCCCCAAGATCACCAGACCTCATCTTCCCTTGATTTTTCCCCTGGGGCTATATCAAGAATGAGGTGTACAGGACTGTACCAACTACTGCCGAGCGAGTATATGCGGGAGAGAATACATGCGGATTTCCATGGTGTAACAACTGAAGTTTTCAGAACCGTTATTTCCAACATTTATTTTAGGTTGATATATTCGCTAACCCCCTTGTTCGTATCTCATTTTCATCTTTTGTAGTTGTAAATCTACCCACCACTTTTTTGCACAACATGTTAACGATATTTTAAATGCTTTTAAAAATGGTAGACTTGGATTCAAAGACGTTTTTGCTATCCAAAGCCACAATTTGTAGGGGGGGGGGGGTCCCATTTGGCATTAAAAAAATACGACATTTAGCGAAGGTGATTCAAAATTTTATTTTTTTATTAAGCAAAATTATGTCTTAGCCTATGTCCCAAATTAAAGCTTTCTAAAAAATTCGAAAATGTTGAGGAAAAAGGTTACAACAGCGAAATCGTTAATCTTAATGATATAACATGTTACATAAAAAAACAAAGGACTTTTCGAGCACTTTCTAAATCTGCAATAAAATATGGGGTGTTTCATAAAAATTCATAAAAGGAATGTGTAATCAAAAATGTTTTAGAAAAATGGCGACGGTTATTGTGTACAATTTTGCTCTAAGACTTTTTTTGTGATTATAGTAAAGGAATTATGATCCGAGGGGCTACAGGACTAAAAAGCGGCCTAATTAAAACGTACCCTTTTCCTTTAACTTTTCTCTATAACGTTCCCGTTTAACTTTTTTTTCTATTATGTTCTTTTTACACAAGTCTTAGGCATTAGCGATGGAAAATCTGGGGCGAGGGAAAGAATCGTTTCCTTGTTTAATTTATAGCTACGAAATCAATTTATTAGGTATTGCAGGATCTGGTCAACCTTGTCAAAAGGGGTACGTAATTATTCAGTATCTGTCCAATAGGTAATTGTATGGATTTACGTTCATCACCGCTTTGTTATTATGTTGGAAATTTCTAAATAAGATATGACTATAGTCCACAGAAGTTCGCTAAGCCAATGCGATCGATTGCACTTGCACTGGATAAATATTGAAACAGTTCCGTTTGTTCTATTGGTATCTCTGTATGCTTACCGAGGTGACAGCAATTAAACTAAACTAATGTGGAATTGGGTTTCTACGGCAAAAGTACCTATACACAAAATTTAGGGGTATAAGCGTTTATGGGTTGTATAAGAAATAACCATTGGAGAATTTATTACGGATGCGGAAAGCGACCACATTAATTTCGAAACTGTATTTATTCATAATTTACATCCATCTAGGAAATTTCTACTTTAAAATTCCCTTTTGATCACCAGCAATGGAGGTATTGCATTATGGGGTATAAAATACCTCTTACTTTTTTGACGAAATACACGTTTTGAAGCACAAGGAATTCGAATTAAACAAAATCTCGATGATGCCGGCCTGTCGGTCTGTCAGTCTGTCGACCTGTCGATCTGTCGGTCTGGCGGTCTGTCTGTACTCTCATTTCCGGCTAAACGGCCGAACCGATTGCAACCAAATTTGGTACACATATTTTTAAACATAAAAGGAAAAGTTAAAAAGGCAGAATCATATATGCGCACATGTGTCAAAGTAACAAAAATTTTTGACGTTTTTTTTCAAGTCATAGTAATTTTTTTTATAAATATACACTTTTAGTTTTATTGTGAAAAATAAACTTTAGGAATTATTGTCGCGATCTTCGGAGTTCATGAATGATGTTTAATTAAAACATAATTGAGAAAAAATTCTGTCAAATTGTTCATACTTCACAAAATTTAGATTTGTTTCTCACGTAATACAATGGTTGTGAGGAAAAAACCATATGTAATTACGTACTGTGTTTTTGTCGCTTATTAAACACTGTTCATTGCTTGACGTTTTTACTATATCTAATTATAAAGTACAATACGCATAAGCGAGTCAAGTGTATGGTAAGGTTTGTGACATTCATGATAAATGTAGTAAAAAAGATAAAAAAATAAGCTTTCTAATGACGTATCACATGACACATGAAACTTCAAAGTATGTGAAATAATTTAAAATGGAAGAGTTAATAGTTTTCTTGGCTATATCTCAAAAAAATTTGAGCGTGAGAACTTTGGTTCCATGTTTAGCAGCGACTCTGTATATTAAAAACGCGACAATAACTCGTGTATCCGATTTAAATTCATCGCAAATTTTGGAAAGGGTATTTTTTCATAGTCCCACTAGAAACTGGGCTAGAAGTGTGCTAGTTTACCTATATTGATCACACCATAAAGTTTCTGAAATACCAATTTATTGTTACTAAAGGTCGACAACATTGGAATACACGATTAGGTTACCATGGTGTAGGTGTTGGAAACTCGAGAAGAAGTCGTTTAATCGATTTACATTGATTTTCGTGGTAAACGCGCCACTCCGAATGGAGTCATTTACGATTTTGCGGTTTTTACGGTTTCCCAAGGCTGCCCTAAACGACACTATCGGAGATAGAGTTATCGGGTGCAACTCCAATAGTCACATCAAAGACTTTGCGGATTTACGATAATTCGACCGGTTTAACCTGCTTGGTAGATTTTGCTATGGTTACAATTATTGGGACAATTGTTCCTATGGTGATTTTTATCAACCCGGTTAAAACGGTTGAATTATCGTAAATCCCCAATAAAACTCAACAAAGTCCTATATTAGATTAATTGATCAGTAAATTTCGGAAATATTTCCACGTGTACTTCCTTTTGTACACGAAACTCTTTCTTACAAACAAATATATTCTGATAGCAACTTTTAAAGTAATTTAAATAACCATCTCATTCTTTATTCTCATTTGAACAATCTATATACATACCTACACACATTAAACATTTTTTGTTCACTTTATGTTATGAAAAAATACCAACAATAAATGAACCCTTGAATTTGGCAAATTGTTGGATTGAAATTGTGGAATAAAAACTTTTCTTTTCGCTATTGACATAATCTTTAGATTCATAATTACTTGAAAAAAAATGCGTATTTATCTAAATTCTGATAAAATTGGACAAACTGCAATAAAATCATTTACATTTTCCTTTCTGTGACCTAAATTATATTTTAGTTTGCTTCTGTATTGTAACAATATTTGTTTAAAATTACAGTTTAGACAAATTGGCATTATAAAAAAATGTTTGGACTGTATTGATATTGCCATGACATCGTAGTTCACGATTGTTCTAAAGTAACATGATTTAAATTAACAATACGTTCTAACCGAGGTTCTAACTCTCATTACTTGGCCCCCCTTCCTAGATGATTTTGAAGATTAATCAATTCAAAAATGCACATTCGGAATTTCTTGAGTTAGTGGTTTATCACAAGGTGATGTAAGAAACGAAACTCAATACCTCCGTTAAAAAGGCTTGCATTCAAGCTATATACCCGCAATATTGGCGTCTCAACTAGTTACGGATCAAAAAACCCATTGAAAGTGAATGGGTAGTGACACATATTTCATTGACCGCAATTAAACAGTTCATCAGAACTAAAAAAAAATGAATTGAGATACGCATTTCTGTGAAATAAAATAAATGAAAGCTTTTCATGCATAGAATCGAACCCGAGCGCTCCGGTTGCAAGCCGAGTATCCTTACCACTATACCATTATGGCACACATTCAATCGTGATTTTAAATTCTTCTTATGGCGCCGAGAAAAAAGACTGCTTCTCGAAGCATATTGAGATAAGGATCATCATCAGTGGTCCTCCGAAAATTTTGAAATCAAATTGACATTTTTTACACTGTAAAATTTCTAATTTAATAATTTACTTGTCTCTGCGAGAAATTAGAAAAAAATTAATCCAAATTTAAATGACTACAATACTAACAATGTTCAAAGATATATTATGGTAGATGGTAAAACTCCCCATATATTAATATTATATAAGCTATTATCATGGGCGTTAAATTCGTCCTCGAAGGCACGCCACTTAGATATTCGTTCCATAACAAAACTGATCTCCAGAAAATTGGTACCAGGAGAAACAACTTTGGTATGTTCCGTTCAGGAATAATCGCTCACAGAAGATTTCCCCTGCGAAGATTTTGCCCCAATAGATTCCCTACTTCCATAAAATTCGCATCCAAGGGAATTTATTGCAAGTTAAGTTAGCAAAAGCTTGCGATATACAAAGTACCCCAACAGTGCGTCAATCTTACCTAGTTTATATAGAATGTCATTCAGGCGAAAATAACGTAACACCGAGTTTTCTCATTAAAGTATAATTGGAAATGCAACCAAAACATATCAAAACGTACAGTACAACGAACTGCTTTACTTCCATACAAAGCGCATAACATTTACAATGGAAAAATGCATTGCCACGCCACCTATTATAAACAAAGTTAAATGGTAATATATTACAGGGGCGCAATAAGGCAGAATTGTACTTCAATACTCCCCCTCAATTCCGAAATCATGAAACAAATACAATAAGTAACTTAAACATTCAAAATTTTTAACTTATCTCTAAAATACTTAAACTTTACGGTTGGTAGACCTTTAGTAAATATGTCGGCTTCCTG